ACGCTCTTGCGATGTCCAGTTGAAGATAGAAGCGGCAGCGGCCAACGGCGTCCCGAAGGTCTACGTCGACGACGATGCAGCGGCATATACATACAAAATGGGGGCCGATGCTGAGAGCCTATACTGGGAGTTTCAACCTGATCTGGAGTACGAGTACGAGATGAGCAATGGAGCCTTTAAGCATCCCGAATGCGACGAGGTAGTGTGGCCTGGATACTGATCGCTAAGAATAGATTAGTTCATCTCATAAAGAAGAGATCGAACAGCTGTGCCGCAGTCCGTGATGGTATAGATGCGAACCTTAACAATCCGCTAAGGCAATATAGACTTCTAGGTCATCTATGTCATGTGGATGTTCACTTATTTCATGGATTGGTTGGTAAAGTTGGTTGGGCATTGCCGTCGATGCGGAGGAGCCGGATGCCATATTCTTACATCATCCAGTTTCCTCTCGACATACTCAGCATCGTGCCGTCATGCATCAAGTCATTTCTCTCGACTGCGCGTCCCGCCTCGTGTTTAGTACACACTGGATCCAAGCAGCTCGCTCCCTTGGCAAGTTTGGACACTATACACGCCAAGGCTGAAGCAGAAACAACTTGATGACTGAACAGAGAGCTTTCGTCGGCCCGCTTCTGTTTCGTCGACGTATCCGGGTCGACAGCGGAGATTTTTACAGATCCAGCAATGCGCCGCCGCTTTGGCGGTCGTGTTTCCCTGATTGTTGCACGCCTTCGATGAGTAGCGGCGGCGCTGCACGGCGGTATCGATCTGCGTGCAAGCTAACGATGGGTGATGTTGTACAACGTAATGGAAGGGTCTAGGTCTGGGTATTTAGGCGGATCTGTGGGACCTGCAGGAACTACTCCCACGTTCTTTGATCTACACAATCCAACGTTATGTTCGACTTCGGGGTCTGTGGCTTCCTGGTCGTCGCATCATGCTTATGCCACGCGTCAAGAGCTCTTAAGCAGCGGAAAGGTTTTGCTTTGACGTTCCCGCGACGGGCCGACTGCTACATCCGTGCTGCGTGTCATCATTTAAGCAACTCGACCTCTCCCGGCCGTTCTTGTCCGCTGAGCTTATTACAGTATACGGTAGTCATGGTTCTCCACGCCAAGTCTCATCTTGTCGGAATCCCCAGTATCAATGCATTGGGTAGAAGCCGCGCGACCGTTTCCCGCCAAGATCGCCGGGTTAACTCGAGATAGCAAAGAGCGATCTCGCCCCTGCGCTATCGCCTTCGGTCAACAAGCGTTTCTTGTCGGAAACAGGGTTCATGCTTGGCGCTCGAACTGCTACGAGGAATGGGCTGGATGTTTGGTTTCCAACATACAAGTGCGTGCCGTCTCCCAAGGAAACCAAGTGCATTTCCTGATGGTACTTACTGCGCAAGCAAAGAGGCTGCGCAACGGTAGTGAAAAGATAGGGCACTTGGCGATGGGAGACCTTCCATGGCGCACGAAAAGGGCATGTGTGAAGACTGCTTGGCGGAATTGAAGGACATGGCTGAGACCTTTGCTTGAAGGACTAGGGTAGTCGTTGTGAAGGCGGATGACCTTTCAATGGCCCGACTGGACTATATATAAGATGTCCTCGCACGACGAGCAAGTTTTCCATCACAGCCAGTTCAGTCTTCCTATCAAGTCATCCGACAATCACATTACACAGAGTCTAGCATCGTCACCATGCTGTTCCAATCCATCTTCCTCGCCGCCGCCACTCTAGCGCCCACAGCACTCAGCTGTCCCCAACACACCAACGCCAAACGCAATGTACACCTCACTACAAGACAACAAGTGCCTCCAGGCACCAACGTAACCCAGAACGACTGGGCCTACGAAGCATCTTTCAACTGGGGAAAGATCAGCCCCGACTACCATCTCTGCCAAACCGGAACTCAGCAGTCTCCCATTGCACTCTCATTAGGCAACGGACTGGCTTTGAACCACGTGCCGACCTTCAAGTACAACGGCAGCGTCGCCGGCAACTTCTACAACTGGGGCTACGGTCCCGCCTTCACCGTTGCACACGACGAGAAGGCAGCGGAGGAAGACATTGACTGGACCAGCCACCCAAGCTTCACATACGACAACGAGACCGTTTACCTCAAGGGCTGGCACATTCACGCCCCAGCCGACCATTCCGTCGGTGGCGACCGCAGCAAAGCCGAGCTCCATCTCGTCCACGTCGACGCTGAGGGTCACGAAGCCGCCGTCATGGCCATCCGCCTCGACCCTGGTAACTCCAACTCGACTTTCTTCGAGCAACTACCCGCCATGATCAGTTACACGGAGATGGGTGTTGAAGAGCCTACTACTATGGACTTTGCTCCTCTGCTTGAGAGCGTCCTGTACTTCAACGAGTTCTGGACGTACCAGGGTAGCTTGACAAGCCCCCCTTGCACTGAGGGTATCCGCTGGTTCGTTGCTAGGCAGATTCTCTTCACTGGCGTTGATCAGATGAGGGCTATTCTTGGTGCTAGCACTTACTCTGCGAGGGCGGAGCAGGAAGTCTGGCAGCACAGGATCAACGAGTAGAGGGTCGAAAATATATTCTTGGTGTCTGACGAGGAGCACGAAGTTGATGCTAGTAGACGATACATTGCATTGCATAAAAGATTACGAACGAGCGAGGCGTTGGTGCTGAGGCAGTAGATCGCCCACATTTGGCGGTTATCTTCTAGAATTCTTCTTGTATATATATATACCTTCATCTCTTTCGGACGCATGAATCGACGAGTACATCTCTTCCATCGGATTCTACCACGCGCAGTGCCCTGCATCAACTCTCAAATCCTGCACATGACATGTTAGCTTCACAACCGTTCTCTTCCTACATTTGTCAAAGGAGATCAGCTTACAGAACCAGTGACATAACTGCTCCCCTCACTCAGCAAGAACAGCACCGGCGCTCGGAACTCTTCGGGCATTGAAATTCGCCCCAGCATATTCTGTTTCGCCCACTCGTCCGTCAACCCCCTCTTCCGCGCTTCCGCGCTCAAAGGCGTGTCAATATGACCGGGGCTGATGGTATTCACTCGGATCGGCGGATAAGCTTTTCGAGGCTCTTGGCTGGGATTTGGGTTTGTTTCCGTGACCGTGCTACCGGGAAAAGTGTTCTGTGGGTGACCCCATTCCGCGGCAAGCGATCGAGCAAGTTGGTGCACTGCCGCTTTTGAAGCATTGTACGCGGCAGTGTTGATGCCGTGATTGGAAATGTGACCCGATATCGAGGCGAACAGGACGATGCTTCCGGGTTGGTTGGCGTTGTGCAATTCGTTCGCTACGGCACGGGCGATGAGGAAGGTGCCGGAGATATTAATATCGAGGATTGTACGAAATGTGTCGATGGGGTACGAACAAGCATCGCTTTCGCCGGAGATGGCGGCGCAGGAGACGAGCCCCCGGATCGGATGACGAAGCTTAGCACGGATGGTGTTGAAGGCTGATGTGATGCTGGGTTCATCCTGGACATCGAGGCGTTGGAATAGCGCATGGGTATTATTACCTCGCGCAACTTCCTGAATCCGATCTGGTCACAGTTATACAGGAGATCAAATTTGGAAGATTGCAGGCATTGTGTACCCCAGCTTTCGGGAGTGGGGTCGGAGACATCGACAAAAACGACATCTGCGCCACTCTCTAGAATCGCTACACCTACAGCCGTACCTACTGCACCGGCACCTCCGGAAACTAGAAGACTGTGTCAGCTCCAGTCCATACGTCGATTGGTAAGCCGTACCTATGATAGTCCGTTCATTTAGCCTAAAAAGATCTTTCGTCGCCATATGGGTAGGTGTAGGATGTGTCATGACGAGGTGTGGTGTTAATGATTATGTTGACGAGAAGATGGAATGATTTGGCAGCGCAGTTCGAATGCGTCGAGCGGTTGCTATAGTTTGAAGCGGGGTTATGACGTATGTAAAGCTGCGGGATAGGTTGTGCAGTATTCAACGTTACCGACCATTAGGCCCGTGTCGCGCTTCCCATGGTATACAAACTTCTGTAAATGTGGAATTTTAATACCGATAGGTATAAAAGGGAAATGGGCAGTATACGATTGCTCTAGCTCTGCATAGGTTCTTCCCATGGATTACACTGTGGTACCGGAAGCACCCTTCCATAACAAAGACACCATGCCATGTTCTATCGCCGTCATCTTTCGGACGCGGAAGGAGCCAGGCTACGTGAGAGCTGGCAAGGTTCCATACCTTGCTCCCAGAACGCGTACCATGGTGTGGCTTGAATGTCAACGTCTGTAATATCTCGTGGGAACCGTATCATCGTGCTCGTAGAAGGGCCAACGAGGTTTCGAACTCATTTTGGTGATGTGTGAAAGGAACTTTGCCACGTTGCTGGAGTCCATCTTGTCCAAGCTTCCTCCGAAGGCGGGGCCGACAGCTCTTGCGAAGCGCAAACTGGGTAAAATGGCGAACACTGAGATTGCGTTGGCTCGCATCTGATATCGGTCACACATGCACTGTCATTTGCGTTCGGTGGTACTTCTGGGTCGTCTCTGTTCTTGAGCTCGTACTCCCACTCAAGGTGGGTGCCCATAGTTGTCTCGGCGCGATTCGAGAGCGTACTCTTTGTCGCGACGTCTTTCAGGCCACTGAATGGGTGATGTATGAGGCGAAGCAAGTCAAAGACTGCTGTGTGAAGCTCAGATGAACCACGATCAAAGAAGAAGAGGCTGTCACTCGCCAGAGAAGTCGGGGGCGTCGCGAGATCTTCACCATCCCATGTCTTAGATCTGTAATCTTGCAGCTTCCCCATGTGAGCTGCAAGAATGTTACGAAACCTGCCAGCAAGCGTATCTTTGATCGCACAGTACTCGAGAACACTGATGCATTTCTCCAGCAGTTTCACGTCGTCATTGTACGGTTCGTTGTTCAGAGCCTTTTGTGATGCCTGGTAAGCGATCATGACTCCCGCCGTGTAGGCTGTGTAACTGGCATTCTGGATTAGCATCCTTTGCCACCGTGACATACGCCTGACTCACATGCAGAGCCAGCAAACTTGTACTACTTTCCCTTCCTGTAGCATTAGACTCATGACAGAAGCGTTTGTTTCCGCAGCTTGGTATCCTTCCTCGATAGCCCGTCGTGCTTCTGGTGGAAGAACTACGATGCCACCTGCATCGAGCGGGATGTATGCAATTATTAGCCGCCGAGCAAGCAGCATCATAGCCGAAAGGTAGAAGAGATGAACATAGAATATTACTGGACGGAATGTGGCCATCAGCGGGCTGTTGTCGCCGCGTAACAGCGCAGCAACTGACATCCAGTCGGGGAGTTGGGCATGGAATCTCGACAACTGCGCACGAAACTCTAGCGTGACACTTTCCGGTACAGGCGCCTTGCTTGGTAGACGGTGAAGTAAGCTTGCCTTGATGATGGAGACTTTGACGCATTCGCGTCGAATCATGTCCTGGGGCGGCACGTCTAGTCCAGTGAGAGATGGGTGGACGTCGAAGGTTAACGAATCAGAGTTGTAGTCAAGAGATGCGCTCAGCCAGCTATCGAAGTAGTCAGCGATATATCGCACATAACTAAAGGCATGTCAAACTGACCATTGCAAGTGGACAAGAGTCATATGCGTGCGACGAATGTCATCGTAGTAGCTTGGAGACCAGTCTGGCGGACATGTTTCGAGAGATATTTTGCGGTTGCGAGGAAGGCTCAGACCAAGTTCTGAAAGTCATTAGTGGCGTAATTTCTCGTGTGTATACCCAAGTGTGACTCGTACCAATGTAAGCCAGAGCAACTGTCGCCTTGACGACGATGTTATACATGCCAAGCAGCGCGCAAACATTCATGGCTCGAAGCGGATCGTAGAGAATTGCAGAGTCCAGGCCAAGTTTGGCGACTGCGTAGAAGTAATCGGCAAGCTCGGGTGGCGGTGCCTTCGTAGGGTCGGCTAGCTGTGAATGTATAACACCGATAGAGGCCATACCCGCAATTTCTGCGGCATAAGTACGAAGTTCGATTGTACTTCCGTTGCTGAACATGTGTCCGAGTGGCATGTTTTCGTTTCCGGAGGCTTTGATTGCTTCGATGCATGCTTGGACGTCGTTCCTGTTCATAATGTAAAATAGCGCTCCCACACAGTTAAAGAACATCTCTAATGGGCCGTGGACGTTGGAAACACTTGCGTTTTCGTGGTTCGGAGCAAGCAGAGTGATGCCCGTGACTTCGGTCTGGCCCTTTCGAACAGTGGAAAATCGGGGATGATCCATTATCTCAGGGACGGCAAGCATTGTCGATGAGGGAGAATCCGTAGATGTCGGTGGTGAATCGTTCTTACCAAATTTGGTCTCAGATGCAGGCCCAGACTCGGAAGAATTGCGACGGCCCATTTCGAAGTTCTTGAAGATGACTCCCAGATCGTCACCCTGGGTCGCTCGCAGGTGCTGCAGCAAGGCCGTGGCTTTGTCAGGTGAAGCAGTCTGTAGGTACCACAAAACTTCATACATGGAACTTTTATCGTCCTCCAGTTCTTCAATCTTTCTTTTTTGCGCCTGAACGAGGGGTGGGTCGTATCCGCATTGTGAATTTCTCTCCGAGCAAGAGCGACATGTCGGTCTGCCACCGTCACACTGTCGTGTGTCAGCTTCGACTTCACGGAATTGCTGTCGCTACTAGCAAAGAATTCGGTGAAAGACCTTGGTGCGTCGGCCACGGCAGGGCAGACATGCGACTGTCACGCGTGACGGCCTGCGACTGGTAGGAGTTGCTCTACTAACAGCGGCGGCTGCAGCCAAGTCTTGTGGACGCGGCGCGATATCTCTGAGAGAAGACGATGACATTCCTAACGGCCGGGAGTGCGAGAGCTTGGATCAAAGTACAAGCTAAAGGTGCGGTCTGCTCCTTATTGGCGGACAGGCCAATGTGCTATAAGTGATGAAGCAACCAACTTTGGATGTCTCGAGTGGTCGGCGGATGCAGCGACATGGCCAGTGCACTCTGTGCGTGGCAGGTACGTTAGCCACATGACGTCAGACCTTATGCAAACGCTGACTCCATGCATTGGATTCGACGCAATTTCTATGTATAGTCGTCTCAATCGAGTTCATTGCAGACTGATGGCTTCGTGATTATCCAGTCTGGTGGGTCTGGCCGAGGAAAGGGCCGACTGCACCTTCTCGTACCCACTGCCCGCGCAACTCACGCACGCACCATCAACGGCAATTGTGACACTTCCATAACTCACAGTCGCCATACGGGCAAGACTCGATATCTAACGACTTTTGAACAGCCCATGGATATCTCTTTGGTATCATAATCACTATGAGGCCTTGTTCAGCAGGGCCTTTCGAACAGTGTTTGTTGATTAGTGAGCACGGCTTGCGATATGCTCAGGTTGGCACCAGAAGCATCTTGAAGGCATACGTTCGACAAGACTTCCACGCATTGTGGACGTCAGATTTTAAGGGAAAATATGCGGCTTCGCAAGTTATACGCTTAGAGCTCCAAGGATATGTTCCTAATGAGAATCAGCATAGCCACGTCGAACGCCATACAGTCCGACTGGTATTTGTCTGACTCAAAGAAATCTCCACTATCGTGCAACCTTTTCCCACGCAATCACGCGGAGAGAGCGTAAGCTCTCCCCAGACAAAGGGACGCAATTTCTCCGTTTGTACAAATGTTGGCAGAAGGATCGTTAGGGAATGCCCGCAATGGCTGTTCACGAAACCGGTGACATCATAGCTGCATGCGTAGGACTGCCCGGTAGCTACAGCATTGTTAGCATACCTGATACTGACCAAGTCGACATCAGAGATCGTGGCATCTTACCTACATATATGACCACAGAAGCCTTGGATTAGCGAGGAATTGTAGCCCTGGGAGGCTGCGTCGCGATGATACTGCACACCGAGATACGTTGGAGTTCAACTGAGTCAACGAACGCCCTTCACATATCTAGCAACGAGTGGTAGGTGCAAACGCTAATTAGACACATCAGGCCCAAGCAATTCAGGTGTTTGACTCCACATATTCTTCTTACACAACTGTTGCCTGTATTCGACACTACAATGGCGTCTGTATCTTGATAACGATATAACTGTTTGGACAACAACTCCAGCGCTGGAGTCGCGACACATTGAAGCTACCAATATGGCCAAGGACGCAGTACGCTCACCCAATACCACTTCACTGGCTTCCAACGCCTGCCCAACACTCCACGGCAAGAAAGATGCCCAGCCACATTGGCCTACAATCGGAACCAAAGACGACATTCCGACATGGCTTCATGATAACGACTTCATCATCACTGGACATCCAATGCCGACTCATTCGTACAAACGATCGTTTCGGCTCTGGCGTTGCCTTCATATGGAAACGATGAATATCTGGACCCACCTCCTTGGGAGCACCGCATTCGTTGGGACTGGCATCGGGTTACACACACTTGCTATCTCGACCAAGCTTGACCTGAGCACAGGCGACAAATTCGCTTTCGGTATTTCTCTAAGCGCAGCAGCTCTCTGCTTTGGGCTCAGCGCAACGTTCCACACACTTCGGAGTCATTCCTACAACATTCACCATCTCTGGGGCCGTTTCGACATCTTCGGCATCTGTCTCTTAGCTATGGGCGGTGGATCATCAGCCAACTATTATGCCGTTCGTTGTGATCCAGTAGCTCAACAAGTATATTGGTGTCTCAATGGCGGCGCCGCTATCGCTGCTGCTGCAATGCTGTTCAATAGTGGCGGCGGTGGAAACAAGATGAGAACGCTTCGTGGCAGTATTTTCAGTGCGCTCGCCCTTACAGCAATGCTCCCAATATTCCATGGCGTCGGCAAGCTTGGATGGAGTCGTGCGTGTGTTGAGACAGGAGCTCAATGGTATCTTGCAGAAGGGCTGGTTCTTTTGCTTGGGGTCTCATGTTTCGTCGGTAGGTTTCCAGAGAGACTGAGCCCAGGCTCATTTGATATTTGGGGCCATTCTCACCAGATTCATCATGTCTGCGCTGTAGTTGGCCAGGCTTTTCATATAGCCGCTCTTGTCGCCGGCTACAAATTCCGTAACGCACATCCAACTTGTTGAGCGAAGGAAGCTGTTGGTGCCGGCGCAATGAGTAATGCAATGGCGGATAGCACTATAGTTGAATGCAACAGGAGATTCTCATGAACGACGTGGAGCAATTGCAGCAACTGTACGATAGAGTAAGGAATATCAACCGACGGTAGGTGGGTATCGAAAAGATGTTTCCCATGTGCAGTGACGAGTATGGCCGGAGAAGGGGCGACGGGCAAGAGTAAGCGAAGCGTTCCTGGGACGCGGTGCATCACTGACTGCCGCCTGCGCAGCAGCAGCAGCAGTCTACCTTCGACCAATTCCCATCCAATATGTCGGCCTCGACTGAATCGAGCGCAACCAATGTAGATTCTCACAGCGAGGACGCGCCCCGCGTTGAAGCGCTCTTCCTCATCAAGTTCGATAAGAAAGTTGGGTACGTCATGCGACGCTGGACAGCCGGAGTACCTTAGGGAGCTATGCGCTGATCATTCACAGCTATACAATCGCCTGGAAGCGCACAACGACACCGGATATTACCCTCGACAACGCCGTTGAATACAAATCGCTACCCTCAGGTCTGCACTCAGTGCAGAATGACCTCGTCTACTTTACCCACGATGGCTATGCCGGGCTCAGCGCCTTCGCAAAGGGCGACGCGAGCGCAGAGGATCGCAATGCCACGTTCGTTTCCGTGGGGATTCTAATCCAGAAGGAAGGCAGATTCGGGAGACTAGGAAGGAGTTGGCTACTGGCCGGCCGCTTGGAGAAATTGGCTGCGGCTCTGGCGGACGACCCGGAAGCTGTGACGCCGCTGGACGAGTTCTGGCAGGAACAGGTCTCGAGACATGGCAAAGGCGACACCACCTCAGATGCCGGAGAGGCGAAAGGTCACAGCAGAGCGCGCGCCATCTCCACCGTGAGCGCTGTCATCAAAGACGAGGAGAGCCTGCCGGACTACCACCCGGCCTTATCTATACAACGCTTCCTCGACGTATTCGGGCCATTGGTCTTCCGGCTGCTACAAGCGGCCCTGCTGAGGAAACGGATCCTCTTCGTGGGCGTGCCGCCGGTCAGGACTGCTTGCGAGTTCGGTACGCCTAAGATCTTATCATTGGCTATCTTACAGCTAACATGCCAGTCTACAATCTGTCTGTCCTGTCTAGCATATCGCCTCGCGACACCGAACGTTTGCCTCCAGAGACGGAAAACCTCCTCCGCCTGCCCACCCTCTTCTCCGTCGGCGTACACGACATACCTCTCCTCGACGACCTTCGCAGGCCAAGACACGGCGGACACACATCGGGCCTCGAGCCATCAGAGGGCTGGGCGGCGTGCACAACGGACGAAATCATTGTCACAAAGACGCAGCTCTACGACATCATCGTCGAACTACCACCCACTTACGATGCGCCCCCACAAGAACGCCGCTGGCCACGGATACGAACGAGCGATGGCAGTTTGATCAAGGCTAGCCAGCGGGACGTTGCGCGCTACAAGCTTTTGCACAAGGAGCTTTTCAAGCAGCGTACGAGATCGGAAACATCGCCCGAGCCGTATACGGACGACGAGAACGACGACACTGCTCCCCTGCTGTCGCGCGACGAGGTCGATACCAAACGCGCCGACGACGACTTCAACGAAGCATACGACGACACGGTGGTAGAACCAACAACGTGGTCAAGGCTTGCATATATGGGCTACATGTGGTGGGCTTCGGCTGGCGAGAGAGATGCATACACGACAGCGGAGCGGGAGACGGATCGCGAGCTGATTGGCGACCTCTCCGCCTACTCACAGTCGCTGGAGACAGCAATAATTGCGTACTTCCATCGACAGTCTTCACTGCTCATACGAACGCTGTCGCAAATCATCGAGGCGGATACACAAGGCGAAAGAGGAGACGATGACGATAATGACAGCGATGCGTTGATTGTTGACAGAGACGACCTGTCGCGAATGGGACTGGATACATGGTCAGAGGCTGATCGCGCCTTTGTGCAGGAGTTTGGTAGTCTATACTTTGGACGTACTGTTGGGGTCAAGGGCAGTGAAGTGGAGTGCTGTGGTTTGCGGGTGCCAATCTTCTAGCTGGGCTGGGAGCGTTTAGCTAGCCACAAACCGGCGGGTTCCCGGTTGTGTGGAGGGCTTCAACGGTGAACACAGACTGTTGTGGTGTAGGTTAATGACAGTCTACTTGTTGCGGGCAACGTTGGAATCCGCTCCATCGCATTAGTGGCGCTAAAATGTTGGGATCGTGTACCTGGAATACCCGCTTTCAGTCACAGGCTGAATGGCGTACAAACAACATGTTTGCGGCTGTATACACGTCCGTATAGCTATGCACACCTCGGTCATCATGCTTTGGGTTTCCGCGTGAAGCCTCGGAGGTCCGTACACAATCAAATCCGCGTAGCATGATTTGTCGGTTTGGTAGAGCTCAGGCAGCCCGAAGTCGGACCCCGCAATTGAATGCACAGGGCGCGCGCAAGCGAATTCTGCGCCCCGCATCGTCATATGCCATTGCCAGTGGCCGGCTCAAGGGCTTAGTATCACCGACCAAAGTTTTCTTTTGCTGTGAATCATACCTCGCGCTGTACTAATAGCCTGCCTGTGCGCACATTTCCTACGTCTTTCCATATCCCAAGTGTGTTTACATTGCTCGAATCCGCCCGAGATACATTTTTGGCCCCCCATTGTTGTCGCTGGGCCATCAAGAGACTGTTCTCAAAGTAGCGCCTCAAGATACCTGCTGCATTGATCACACCAAGATGCCTATGCTCAAGGAGCCCTGGAAGAAGTACCATCCCTTCAAGCCATTGAACCTGCCGGACAGGACATGGCCTAACAAGACAATCGAGAAGCCACCACGCTGGCTGTCGACCGACCTGAGAGACGGCAACCAAAGTCTAGTAGATCCCATGGTAAGTGCCAATCCACCCAAAAGCCGCTGCGAACCAACATCTGACACGGACCGCAGGATGGCGCGCAAAAATGGGACTACTTCAACATGCTAGTCAAGCTCGGCTACAAGGAAATCGAAGTCTCCTTCCCCTCCGCGTCGCAAACCGACTTCGACTTCACACAACGCCTCATCCAAACACCCGGCATAGTACCTGACGATGTCTGGATCCAGGTCCTCTCGCCATGCCGGAAAGAGCTCATCCGCCGCACCGTCGACTCCCTCAAGGGCGCGCGCAAGGCCATCCTCCATCTGTACCTCGCGACCAGCCCGTGTTTCCAGCAGATCGTCTTCAACATGAACGACGACGAGACAATCGCCCTCGCAGTCGAATGCACAAAGTACGCGCGCTCGATAACCAAGGACGACCCTGCGCAAGCCGGCACAGAGTGGGCATACGAGTTCTCGCCCGAGACTTTCTCAGATTCGTCCCCAGAGTTCGTCATCAAGGTCTGCGAGGCTGTCAAGGCAGCGTGGGAACCAAGTGTAGAGAACCCGCTGATCTTCAACCTGCCAGCCACCGTGGAAATGTCGACACCCAACGTCTACGCCGATCAGATCGAGTACTTCTGCAAGAACATCTCCGAGAGGGAGAAGATCTGCGTCTCTCTACACCCACACAACGACCGAGGATGCGCAGTAGCGGCGGCAGAACTGGCACAAATGGCGGGTGCAGACCGAGTAGAAGGCACGCTGTTCGGCAACGGAGAGCGCACAGGAAACGTCGACCTCGTCACCCTGGGCCTCAACCTGTACACCCAGGGCATACATCCAAAGATCGACTTCTCTGACCTGAAGTCAATCATCGATATGGTGGAGAGCTGCAACAAGATCCCGATACATCCGCGCGCGCCATACGGAGGCCAGCTTGTTGTATGCGCCTTCAGCGGCTCACATCAAGACGCAATCAAGAAGGGATTCCAGATGCGCAAGAAGAACGGCGCGGACAACGAGAGCCGGTGGCAGATCCCATACCTTCCCCTCGACCCCCAAGATATCGGCCGCACGTACGAAGCCATCATCCGCGTCAACTCACAAAGTGGAAAGGGAGGAATCGCCTGGATCATCCAGCGCCAGCTCGAACTCGACCTGCCTCGTGGTCTGCAAATCGCCTTCTCCAAGATTGTGCAGAAGGAGACCGACATGCTCGGCCGCGAACTCCTGCCAACCGAGATCACGAACCTCTTCGAAGAAGCCTACCACCTCAAGCGCAACCCTCGCTTCTCCCTTGTCGATTACGAAATCAAGGCCGACCGATCAGAGACACCTCTGCCACCGCAAGACGGCCGAACAGTCAGCAGCCGCAACCTGCGCCGTATCTTCAACGGTGTCATTGAGATTGATGGCCAGGAACACAAGATCCAGGGCTCGGGCACTGGTGCGCTGTCATCGCTGGCCGATGCACTGAGGAGTCTGGGTATCGACCTGGACGTTGTAGACTACAACGAGCACACAATTGGTACAAGCAAAGACGCAAAGGCCGCGACCTACATTGGTTGCACAGCCGCGCAGAGCAGTCAGAAGGTCTGGGGTGTTGGTATTCACCAGGACGTGGTTCAAGCGTCTCTCATCGCTATGTTGAGCGCAGCTTCTTCAGTAGGTCTTCGCTCATGATAATAAACAGCACTTTGGCTAACACATCACAGTTCCTATCGTCGAGACCTACCACACCCATTCCTTTCCGCCCCAAGCGATCGAACACCCTCGAGATCCCCAGCCCAGACTCAAGTCCTACGCGAAACGGCAAACAAAATGGAAGCACAATAGTGGATAAGCTGGAGGCTGCCGTTAACGGCAGTCAGGCGGACGTCAAGAGTGCGGGGGTGTAGCGGCATGAAGTCTTATCAACGCTTCACAGTTCAGTTTCTCCGTTCACACATATCGCATACAGCATTTGGGATGTAAAAGGCCGGGGCATTGGAGTTTAAAAGTGCTGTCTAAACGGAATGAGAATAGTTAAACAAGGTATCAATAGCTGTACTCAAATCACACATGTAGAACCTTACAATATCCGCGTTCTGTGTTCTTGTCCGCTTGCCTACCAGACGTTTTCATCGGCACAGCTCCCACAGCAATCGCTCTTGTTCTTGCCATGCCCAGGGCGTATCCGACATCGGCACATGCATCCTACACAACGCTTATCGCCGGCTCATGGACCCGTAGATGTGGATACCGGTTGGTGTGAAGTAATGCCCGACATATGGATGACATACCGGCCCAAACTCTATCTACAACTCCGATCCGTGTCACCATATCCATACAAGATCACGATCATAACCCTGCCCACCCCCAGCGCATTCTCTCTACCAACAAGGACAACCACCATGGCAGAAAACGACCGGAACAGCATCCCCCCAGCCCCAGCCTACTTCCCCACATCCGCCGACTCCCCCCTCCACCCCCCAACCGCCCTCTACACTACTCTCCGCGACCTCCCCTCCACCTCCCTAATAAAGACCCAGGACTTCACCATCCCACCCCGCAGCGGAAAAGCCTGGACCGTTCCCGCAGGCGCACTATTCCGTCTCTCCACGCCCGAAGGGCCCCAAGTCGGCGATTTAAACGTGTGGAACCAGCATGATCCCCGAGAGCGCTTCTGGGCATCTAGGACGAGGCAGTTGCAGGGGAGTCATGTGGTGCAGGGGGATAGGCTGTGGAGTTGCCTCCCGTTTATGAGGCCGATGTGTGGGCTTGTGGAGGATGGATGTGAGATTAGGGATTCCGAGGGGAAGGGCATGGGGAAGGGGAGGGAGAGCAGCAGGGATGAGAGGGGTGGGGTTACGAGGTGGGGTGGACGGTGTAATGATTTGTTGGGGACGAGGTGTGATCCTTATGGTATGTTTAAATGCGCGGATTGGAGGTTAAGTTTGGGATGGGCGACTTTGCTGAAATGTGTTCCTTTCGTCTTCAGATTCTTCTGCTCAGAAGATCATGTGCACGCGTGTCGGCTTTGCTGACGATGAACACAGTATCAAACATGCTAACATCCTCATCCTACGATTACCACTGCCACTCCAACCTCGTCCGTTCCATCTTGCCATATGGACTGACAGAATTCGACATTCACGACGTACTCAACGTATTCCAAGTCACAGGTCTAGATTCGCAAGGCCGCTACTTCATGGAAGCTAGTCCTGCGACCAAGGATAGCTTTCTCACCTTCTTCGCCGAGTTGGACTTGTTATGTGCGCTGAGTACATGCCCAGGTGGTGACCTAAGCCGGTGGGGCTGGACGCAGGCGGAAGAGGGAAAAGAGAAGAAAGAGGGAGATGATGATGAGGGGATGAAGAGTACGTGCCGACCTATTCGGGTAGAGGTTTATGAGATCAAGGAGGAAATCAAAGGGGAGGTGTTGAAGGGGTGGAAGAAGCCGGAGAAGAGTGGATATAGGGGAATGCATGGGATGCGTATTCCTGAGGGCGAGGCCTAGTCTTCCCTAAATTCTACAACTTGTTACTTCCGTGGATCTTGCCGCCATCGAGCACAATTGTGTCTCCGTTGACATGTCCGCCAGCCCGACTGCTCAAATACACAACCGCAGCTGCGATGTCCTCTGGCTTTCCTACCCTTCCATTCGGGTTAGTCTTTCCCAACGCCTCCTCACCACCAGCTTTCTCCATCAGTACACCCGCCATCTTGCTCATGAAGAATCCAGGCGCGATTCCGTTGACAAGAATGTGTCTGGGCCCTAGTTCAACAGCAAGGTTGCGCGCAAGATGCAGGACTGCGGCCTTGGATGCGGAGTACGACCAAGAGCCTGTCTCACCGAGAGATCCCACGCCGATTCCTGCTACACTGCCTGTTACAATGACGCGCGAGGGGTCTTGAACTGTTGCGGACTTTGTGAGGAGGGGTGTGAGTCTATGTGCTCATATTAGCGCTATTGTTAGATAAAACCGGAAAGGAAACACCCACTTTTGGATTGTGAAAAATACACCCTTGACATTCAAGTCCATAACCTTATCCCATGCGTTCTTCTCGTCCGCCTCTTCAAACTTGCTGCCCCAGGTCGCTCCTGCATTGGCAAAGAGAATGTCCACGTGATCGGTATGCTTGCTGACTTCCTGCACAAGTCGGTCGATCTCGGAGACCTTGGAGCTATCCGCGGGAATGGAAATAGCTACTGCACCAGGCGATTTGTTGGGGAGCGCATTTAGGGCTGCGACGGCGGCATCGCAGGCTGAAGCTTTACGGGAGGTGATGAAGATCTTGGAGCAGCCAGCTTGCATCAGGCTGGTCTTGTGTTAGGCAGGTGCGCTGGAATGATGGATGGAAGCAGCTGGATTCATTTACCCTGATGCTGCATGGAGACCTAATCCTCGAGATCCGCCGCTCACGACTGCGACTTTGCCTTTCAAGCTAAAGATGTTGGTGAAGTCGTGCAGCTGCACATCTTGTTCCGCGGATGCCATGATGATTGTATGTATTGAGTATTATGTATATGGCGACAATGGAACGTTATGTGCGCTCCAACAATGCGTTACTATGTGGGAGTGTTGATTAGTCGTGATTCACGACTGCTCATGTAACGACCTCGGTGCTAACGGTGCCCAGCCATCCGAAGTTGTATCAATGCATACGTGATGTACCGAGGCTGTAAGTCGCGCTAGTCTACTGCGTGGGGTAGCGTGTTGTCCAGTGCACATGCTCTTTCTCAGGTTGTGACGAGAACTCTCATTGAGAGAGTCGTTGCATCGTGGTTCCTAAGTCGGGGTAGGAATATACACGATACACTGCGACCAGGCGGATGCGTGACATCGAGTCGGAGAATAATTCGCTCTAAAGCTTGCCTATCTCCTCCACGCATAGTCCCGGAGAATACCAGGGTGCTTTTATCTGCGCCGCGCGCTGCGCTACAAGAAAAAGCATTATCTCAAGTGTTGGCTAGAGGTGCAGTTAAGGTTGTCGGATCTAGGTATGCGGCAATCTCGGAGCATCGTACAAGGACATTATGGGGACGCTGGTGTGAGACATGGCTGGCCTCGAGGGCCACAACATCGAGACCCAACGTGAATCGACTGCTCAAGTGAGATGTCGACGATGGCTACGGCACGTGAGCGAAGGTCCAGTGCCCAGGTGGTGTTGCGCGCTCCAGTGCGCCTGCCTCGAGTATCGGAAGTAAACACCGCCTTCGTAGTCGGCGGGAGGCATGGAAGGCGCGAAGAACTTGGCGCATTCCGACGACACCACGCGCACCCACCATGAAGAGCGTAGCGGATATTGCAGGAACATCAACGTGCATCCTTCAACGGTTTTGCTGTCGATACATACTGTTCTCGCCCTCCTCGCCGACCTGGAGAAACTGCCGCGAACAGGACGACGCGTTATCACATCGCCACTCTACCCCAACGCGACTCCGAATTTCGCAGATCTCCATCCGCCCGCCAGAGACAAGCTTCTCCCTTTCTCCAAGCGTCTAAGAGTTTTCTGCATGACATCCTATTCGGGACTGACATGTGCTGATCGCCGTGGTTGGAAACCGCCAGGCGAAAGATCACCGGCGAAATTTTAGCCTGCCTCCAACGGCGTCTTATCGGAGGGCCGATCGCACGTCAAACTCGGGTTGCAGAACTCAACTTCGGGTCCGCCAAGACACATTCGGTCCATTCTCGCAGATGAGCGGCTCACAGCACGCTACTCTTCCTGTCATCCCAGTCCGTTTTCTCAAAACCCCATCGGCTGCCTTCCTTGGACGGAAGCTACCGACCCGCCAGGGGGCCGCGCAATCATAGATGATCAACGAGCGATCACAACTGTAGATCTTTTCACCTCTGTTTACTACTCAGCGTACGTACGGGCCTCGTCGAAACACAACTATGCAGCCGGAGGGGACAGCATCGAATCGATACTTGAGCAGACGTCGGGTGTCACATTCCATACCTTCCGCTCCACGCGACATGTGCAACGGCGCACAGGATATAAAAAGATCAAAACTCCGACTTGCAGACACAAATCGTACCGTAGAAGCATTTTGCGGGCCTCTGGTATGCACGTCCTGATCGACACGCTCAACAGATGCTACAGACCATTGAGATTGGTGCTCGCTCTTGCGGATACCGCAATGTACCCTGCCGTGTATCAGAAACATAGCACCGTTCTTGAGACGCCCGTCAAAAGCCTCGTAAGGCACCTATCCGGGCTTGCTATCCGGCAGCTGTCAGTTTCAGGTGGCGAGGGGCCGCGGCGCGGTCTAGACGAGCGGTTCGGCAGTTGGCAGTAAATTTCCACCCGCCTTGACCTGGTTTCTGGTCACCTCGGCTTCGCATTGCTCTTCATGCTGCATTTGACTGGCCGAGCCGCTGTCGACGCCAAGCTCGAAATCAACAGAAGGACAGACTAGCGATACATTGGCCTTGCCTGTGGGGCTTCCGCGACGGGCGCGGGCACGCGCTGCAACGTGGGGAACCACGTTTTTGCAAGCGGTGCCACGCCTGATGACGGGCGCCGCAAGGTCAGGGATGTTCTCCGGCGACGCGCGCAGAACAATTCTCGGAACACTGTCCTGAATGAGGTAGTGTTAACTCAACGCTTAGTGTACTTATCCAAGAAGATGTACGAAGAATCTTGTTCATAGTGACATCAGTGTGAGCATTACGTAGGTTCACGGTCTACCAACAAATCGGAAGCCACACGGCAATTGATGTGGCTGTGACTTACCGTGCACGGCGATTCCACCGCTCAACGTGCTGTGGCTGGGGAGGCCTGGCTACAGTCTCCGCGAATCCCACTAGGGCATGTCGGGACAGATCGCTAGTGAACCACCATGACGGTGTTCCCTATCTTCTTGGGGACCGAAAACTGATCCTTCGGCGCCTTTTTCGCCATCGTCTTTCAAAGTCCAGAGCGCTTCATCCGAGTAATCCTCGTGCTTGCAGATTCGAAATCCCGTGTGCTTTTGCCATGGCTGCAGGCGTTAGCGAAGTGCCTTTCTTCAATGCCGCATGCAGGTAGACCCCTGTATGAATCTCGCCGAAAAGGTATGCCTTGGACGTTTTGGGTGAAGCCATGTGGACCGTCTGGCATTTAGGCACGAACCGATCATCTTCTGGAACATGAGGCTTCATCAGAGCCGGACAAGCTGTCAGGTAAGACTAGCCATCCGGATCTACGTCCGAGCCTGCTAACGGAGCTGCCAGCCCGTGTAGAATTTGAACTAGAACACTCGCTTCGTCTCATTCTAGTCGAAGCAGCACCAACTGTATGCCGTGTGCGGAGCCATTGGGCAGTACTCACGAGACACAAAAACATAGGTTTGCACGACTTCTATCGGTCCACTCGTGGACGGGAGCCAAACCACATATCTGGGCATTCGTGGTACTATCAACCGGCAATAAACTTTGCTCCTCCCGTATACCGGTACGTCGAATGCACAGGAGGCCTCTGCTTCGTGGTGTTGTTGAACAAGGCTTGCTAAAGTCCCCTACTCTCCCAGGATACGGAGCTTTGTACAGGGTCCCCGAAGCTCCTTTCCATTTCAGCGCGTCGCCAAGTCGACACGTGCTTTAAACGAAGCACCTTCGCCAATCCCCTGTGTCGCTCAGAGCATCCATCCGAGATCGAAAGGTGGCGACCTGACAGGGTCCTTCTACCGCCTTACCACAAGGTTGCTAGACGAACTTCACTGCAACTGGGAATTGAGCTGATCATTGCAGCATTTTGACTAGCATACTAGCCCCATACGACGCCCCGAAATACCCAGTATTTCCTTCATCGGATCTTTGCCGAGATTTAACATCGTTCCCACGAATCTTGCCGTCTGCCGAAGCGTCTCTTGTCTCCTCACGGCCGTGAAAGTTCAATCATCACACACCACCTCGCAGTTCACCCTAACCAGTCTAGCCACTGACCCTAACCTAAAGCTGTGGCATCTCGGCCACTCAGCCGAGCGGCTGGCTGACAGCACTTACTCAGGCGACACAGACCCGACTATCGCGCTCCAGCCTTCTGTATGCCCGAGTCACTCAATCTGCCCAACCTACCGCTCGCTTGCACGGTTTCTCCACTTGGAGCGAAGACCTGTCACTTATCTTGTTCATCCACAAGTTTCCATCTTCCGCGTCTTGCATCACGCCAAGGCAGCATGAGGTGTTGACGGCTGGCTTCCATTGGTTCAACACGTCTACCTGGTCCCACAAGCTACTAATATCGTTGGCCCGTTCTGAGTAGCGCTGTGTTCGGCTTCTACCGAGACCACTTACTCTTTCTCCATAGCGACATCATCTCGACTAGAACTTGTTACCTACCAAGCGAATTTCGATACCCACACCCGGCCTGTCTTCGAGCGCTTGGGCTATCTCTCACGATGCGCAAATCTCCGCCAGGTTCCAGTGGGCAGTCGCCACGGACCATGATACCACCACCAAGTCCGTTCACGATGTCGCATCCGGTTGCTCGCACGACTACTCTGGCGGCGCCTACTGGCCCACAGCTTGGCTCCCGTTCACCTGGGTATTCTTCGAACTCTTATAGCCATTCCACTTCACCAAGTACGGCATCTGGAAGCCTGCCGGACCACAACCACGATGGCGCGAGCCTGATGATATCCCCTACTCAGATCTCGTCCGCGAACTTGAACGCGCAAAAACGCGCATACAGACAGAGACGTAAGGATCCCTCGTGCGATGCTTGTCGAGAACGCAAAGTCAAGGTGAGTAAAGAAAATAGAAGGTTCATACGTACATGAAAAGCAAGTGTTTTGGTGGCATTCCAGCAATGCCATCAGAGGCGGACAAGCGAGATTGGGGATGGATGATCAGGTACTGGCCACCTAGACGACCATCTTCCCTTTCAGTCGCGTCGAGCGCATGCGTATCCAGTTGCGCATGAGCTTTGCTGAGATTGACATGCTTCCATGAGCAATGTCAGGGCATTGAACTGGAGACCATGTGAGGATGTTACTGACCACTATTTTAGTGCGATGCAACCGAGACATCGGCTTGCTCAGAATGCTCGAGCCGTAACCACAGGTGTCAATTCACCAAGGAGACCAACCGGCGAATGTCATCCATCAAGTACGTGTTATGACTTAGCCCACTTGGACGAACATTTGCTTACGTTGCATAGACAGGTCCAGGATCTTCAGAGTCAGATTGCCGAGTTGACTCATGTCAACTCTCAGCTGCGCACCAAGGTCTCCGATGGTGAGCCTTTAGATCCCGAACGGACAGACACGAAGCGCAGGCTTTCTGAAGCTCAGATTGGCGCCATACCGGGACCACGTCCGATCACAATGCCAGCCTTGAACAACTTCGACCAGGTCCGCAGCAACATCCGAACACATGCCCAAGGCATATTTTCTACACCCCATCACGATCCAAAGGGCGCTGGATTGACAAATTGGCGGTCACCCGAGATACCAACACGCGCAGACTTTGCGTACCTCGCTCGCTCATACATGGAGACGATACACGAGTCGTATCCTGCTGTTCACTGGCCCACTTTTCAACGAGAAGTGGACGAAGTGTACACTTCGAAAACATTCGAGGGTTGCTCTCGTGAATGGGTCGGATTATTCTTTGCGGTATTGGCTTGTGGCGCTTTGCAAGCTGAACCGGCGCACACCAACTCTCCTACCTCAGTGTCAAAGGGCCAGGCAATGTATGAGACCGCGACTGCTGTTCTCCAGTCCTGGCCGCATGATGTCTCAGTTACATATGCCCAAGCAGCACTTCTGTTGAGCATCTACGCTACTGAGTGCAACTTGGGCCCTGCGGGCTCTATGTGGCTCGCCTCTGCCGCGAGAATGGCTCAGGAATTGCAAATATGCCCTGAAGTCGATGTCTGGCCTCTTGTCGACGGTGAGATCCGACGTAGGCTCTGGTGGTCCATCTACGTTCGCGATAGGTATGGAAGCTGTTTCTCGCCTCTTTTTGCCAACTGCAGCTGACTTTGAAATAGGATCATGTCGCTTGAGACAGGCAAGCCTATGATCATCAACGAAATCGACTGCGAAATATCTCTGCCATCCGCCGTGGACGACCGCTACATCCAACCGAACAGTTCCTTCCGCTCATTAGCGAAGCCAACTCACTATACTGGGTTCATGGCGAACATACACATCACACGCCTATATGCGCCACTGCGGCAAATTCTCAAATCAAGCGTAGTTCTCCCACAGAGCCTACAAAGCTTTGATGAAGAGCTTCGACTTAAGTTGCTGCTCCTTCCTGAAGCCTACCAGCCTGATTCCAATACACTGTTCGACATGTCGGCACTGCCTACAATCTTTTGCTTGTTGTCCGCTCGCTTTAGTGTGTACCGGCGCAATCTGACTCCAGTAGCCGGTCTCGCGGAGCGAGTGAGTGCTCTAAAGCGGTGCTTTTCTGTTTCTCAAGACACGGCAACGTATGTGTCAAGGGCCTTGCACAATCCTCCCAAACAGGATTCTGGAAAAACATGGGAAGAGCTAGTAGCTTCGATAGCGAGCAATGCCGTATGTTTGCACTTGTGGAGATGTATACTTGTGCTATGCTTCCGTGGCGAGTACAAGGCTGCACTCGTTTGCTTGCATCTCTCTAGGGCTATTGGCAATCGACGGAAGGTCAACACGGCGTGCGGAAAGCACGTGGTATTCTTCCTCGAAAGGATGTTCGACAGAGTGCGTACCGGGCGCGCAAGCAGTCATCAGCTCGAGCAGGATGAGGAGATGATCGCGTACGTCAGTGCGGACGCTCAAAGCAGCCTTGAGCATTCTTGGGTTTGGGCGGGTGATAATTTGATCTCTTCGAGCATGAAGCCAGACCCGACCCCCATCGCTACAAGATCGCCGAGCGGCGATGAACCGATGCGGGACGCACTACCATTGCGCACGTCATCTGGTTCACCGATGAACACTACAACTGAACCGGATGAGTGGAGCAAGGTTGAGCAAATGGTCAAGCAGCTGATGGATGAGCTCCTTCATCGATCCACGCAATCGCCTGCCTACTATCCTCCACCCCATAATCCTGTTAAGCGCGTGCAGTTGGCACCGGAAGCACCACCACCACCAAAGATGGCGCCAAACCCAAGTCCGACACCGTCAGGCACAAGTCGCATCAGCATTGCGAACATTATATGAAGCAAAAGGCTCCCTACAGACTATAGATAGCTCATCGCCGGCCTGTACGGATATTCGTTGAGACAAGCACTCCGGCCAGCATTCAACTGGAGTAGTCCTTTGGACTCGAATACCTGCATTGGGTACTACGACCACCGCATGTAAACTATTCGGAGCAACACATTCGCTAACTCCAAAGCGCTGTACATTCGTTGTGCACATTCAAACCCCCGGGTCGTCCTGCCGCCCGCAAATTGAAGCCGAAGCAAGTACACCTCCCGAGCCAGTTTTCGACATTTGCTCGAGCATAACAAGCATTGCTCTCTTGGCCAAGACGGGTTGACGCTGCTATGGTTCCACGCTTGCGCTTGTAATTCAGCTCTCATTCGGTGCGTACATGATTCGCTTCAGCAACCACGCATGGTCAGGGCGTTGAGATGTCTTGGCTATTTGATACCGATTGTCGCAATGCTCTGCGTATAAAGCGATACTCAAATATACTTCCATGCTTGCAGTCCAACGCTGCTTGCCTCCGTAATATATGTTGCACTGCAGTCCCCAATGCCGTGACAGTGCTCAATTGACTCAGCACTAGTGGAAATACTCACCTATTGGAATGCTTGGGAATCTCACTTGCGCACACCTAGGTTCGCGCCGCGACTTACCCGCAGCCTTGTCTTTCAGCGGCACATAAGAGCCATCCAATCAGTACCTAGCCATATACTCGGACGCTACCAGTGTTAAGGTTGGAAGCGAACCTGCGACCGAACTCTGCTGACACCGTGCCTGTTGTGCGACGACCTTGCTGCAATAACGTTCTCGTCAGCTACGCATAAACCGCCATGGCTTAGCTGATACCTACCACCAGCGCATATCTTCTCAGCCCCGAAGGTTGTGAAATGTCATTGCGGAGCAGAACCCGACACTCGCCCGGGCAGATCGTACCTGGCACTACCCCGCCGATAGTCCATCTCGAAAGGCGTTAGCTCGTCGCCGAAAGCAGGAAGGCATGTGTAGGGCGGTGTGAGGAAACAGGGCCACTAGCCAGACAAGCTTCACGGGCCAAATGCTTAGCGAACGGCCTGTACCCCGCTATGACATGTTGTCTCTCTCGAATGAGCACCTTGGGCGCGACATCGTGCGTCTGTTTACTTGAATTATTCCCAGCTCAAACGCCTCATGTAGAATAAATGGCTACGGAAATGCGCTAGGCCGTCTGGATGATGAATCGACATACGCGTCGTGTAGCGTCGGCCTGCAGCAGGTGGCCCCCAACGTATGTCGTATGCAAGTCGTGGTGGGGTAGCAGAGTGAGCTGGAACGCGGGCGGCGTGTTGATGCTGCATGATAGGCGCGTCAGGAGCTGGTGAGCGATATAAGCTGCTGATTCTGCGGCAGCTCCGGTTGTTCTTAGGCTGCCTTGTTTACTTCCTTGACGTGGCTTCCTGCTTCTCTTCTTCCTCCGTCTTTCCTCGCACCTGCACCTCGATCATAGAAGGCAGGCACTATTGTGTCTTCCAGAAGACCCCTCCACAAACACACCCTACGACCGCCAACATGGTGCATATCAACCGTGTAGCAACTCACAAGGAAGTCTCCGAGGAGCAGAGCCAGTTCGAGGCCATTGATGCCACCACTACCATCAATCTGACACCAGACGATGAAGCCGACGACTACACTGCTACCGTCTACGGTTCCAAATATGCTGCTGAAGATCTGCCGAGACACGAGATGCCGGTGAGTCCAGCCCTTTTGAGTAGCTATACCCGGAATTGACACGATCTAGGACCGAGAAATGCCTCCCCATGTGTACGTACTTTGCTACATGCACTATTGGCATCGAACACACCAGACTATGCGCCGCACCACAGCTGCGACAGCATCGCTGACCAGATGCTAGTGCATACCGCATGATCAAGGACGATCTCACGCTCGATGGCACCCCAACACTGAACTTGGCTTCATTCGTTACAACTTACATGGTAAGCTCTAATGATCATTTATCGGATAGACAAAGACTGACACATGAGCAGGAAGAAGAGGCCGAGAAGCTTATGGTGTATGTCGGACAAGCTCGTGTTTCGTAACCTCCCAATAACCCTTTACCTCAGCGACGCGTTCTCGAAGAACTTCATCGATTACGAAGAGTACCCCGTCAGCGCCGATATCCAAAACCGTTCGTACATACACTACAAAATGGGCTGAGGAATGTTTGCTGAATTGTGAACAGGATGTGTGTCGATGATCGCCAGGCTGTTCAATGCGCCGGCAGATCCAGAGGCGAACACAATCGGCACCTCTACCATTGGGTCTTCTGAAGCCATCATGGTCAGTGAATACAGTGGTATGAAGCTGGAAGCCTTTGAGCTGACACATCATAGTTGGGTGTACTGGCCCAGAAAAAGCTTTGGCAAAACAAGCGCAAGGCTGAGGGCAAGCCCTACGACAAGCCAAACATGATCATGAACTCGGCTGTACAGGTCTGCTGGGAGGTATGTAGCCTATTGTCGAGTCATTTCAGGCAAATAAGAAGGAGAAGCATACTGATTGTATGCAGAAAGCATGCCGATACTTTGATATCGAAGAGCGATATGTATACTGTACTACTGAGCGCTATGTGATGGACCCCAAGGAATGCATTGATCTCATCGATGAGAACACCATTGGAATTTGTACGTATTACAGCATCTATAAGAGGACAATGAGCTAATTCGAATAGGCGCAATCCTGGGAACGACCTACACTGGCGAATACGAAGATATCAAAGCCATCAACGACCTTCTCGTCGAGAAGGATATCGATGTTGATATTCACGTCGACGCCGCGTCCGGTGGGTTCGTCGCTCCGTTCGTCAACCCAGGTTTATTATGGGATTTCCGCCTACCAAAGGTCACCACCATCAACGTCTCTGGCCACAAGTACGGACTTGTCTACCCCGGTGTCGGCTGGGTTGTGTGGCGCGACCCCAAGTACCTTCCCCAGGAGCTCGTCTTTAACATCAACTACCTCGGTGCTGACCAGGCGTCTTTCACGCTGAACTTCTCGCGCGGAGCTTCGCAGATCATCGGACAGTACTACCAGCTCATTCGTCTTGGCAAGCGAGGATACAGGAAGATCATGCTGAACCTGACGCGTACGGCCGATTATCTCGCCGCGAACCTTGAGGCATTGGGCTTTATCATCATGAGTCAAAGGGGAGGCGCTGGACTTCCTCTCGTTGCTTGCCGCATTGATGAAGATCTTGGCAAGCAGTACGATGAGTTCGCCATGTAAGTGTGCACCCCATTTTTTCCGCAACTGCAACTAACGAGAGCAGTGCTCATCAACTACGCGAGCGCGGATGGGTCGTTCCCGCATACACAATGGCCCCTCACTCCGAGAAGATGAAGATGCTGCGTGTGGTTGTGCGCGAGGACTTCACCAAGTCTCGTTGTGACGCACTGCTTGCCGACTTCAAGCTTGCGCTGTCGACGCTGGACAAGCTCGACGCGAAGAAGATCGAGGAGCACAGGCAGCATGCATTCGAAATACGTCGTCGTTCGACCATTATCAGCCCCATCTTTAAGAAGAAGGCGACAGATCACTTCGACGAGGACCACAGTCTACAGGCAAAGACTGGAAAGACACATGCAGTCTGCTAAGCGTGAGCAATGCGCCGCTTATTTAGCTGTCGAGGTGAAGGAGTATATGGGTTTTATATACATAGACCCCACCAATGAAAAAGTCGCTATCATTGTTCTAAACAAACTGCGAATGTTGTGATGATCGGGCAGCATGAATTCCATCCATCAAACTTGCAGCATCCATACTACTTTAAAGAGTTCTGTTCACCAGCTGGGGCCACATGGACGTCTCACTAACCGTTCTTGAGTGACGCATAAATGCAGAAGATAAGGGTGGAACCAGAGCACATGCCGAACTGAATTGCAGTGGATAAGATACCGAGCAAAACGCTGCAGCGGGGATGAACGTGAAAGAGGAACGGAAGGCGGGCGGAAGTCGCGACGCGTCACGCTAGCCTAGTCGGGCACACGCGTCGCGGCGAATGATGTTCGGCGAAAAGGAGGGGGGAATCAGCACTGCAGACGGTAGGTCTGGTCGTATATTGTGTAACTGTTGTTAGCGTCCGAGATGTAAAGGTCGACAGACACTGTATCAGCAGGGTCGGATGTTATAATGAGCTGCACTCTACATCACTAAGAAATGGGACAATGGTGACAAAATGTGTACGTTGGTACCTTTGCGATTAAACAGTCCAGTGGCTGTTACTCTTCTTCATCATATCCAATGCTAGACATTTCCCATCGATCATTACCTCCTAAACACAGCCTAAGCCTTGGTCTCGGCGTTCTCAACCCTAACGGGGCTGTGCTCGAGACCCTTCTCGTTATCAACCTCGCCACGCTCAGCACGGCGAGTGTTGCTGTATTCGACCCTAGTCTTCCAAGCGGGAACTCCAGCCATGAACATCTCCTCAACATCCTCGAGCGTCTTTCCAGCCGTCTCGGGGAACAGGAAGAACGTGTGGATAGCCATGGCGAGGCAGAAGACACCGAAGATGATGTAGACGCGCCATTGGATGTTGACGAAAGCGGGTGGGACGAAGTAGGAGAGGGCGAAGTTGAAGATCCTGGAGCGGAGTTAGTACGTGATGATTTCAAGCATCATAAGCAGGTTTGTACATACCAGTTGGATGAGGTAGCGACGGCAACAGCCTTTCCACGAATGCGGAGAGGGAAGATCTCTGGTGGGTAGACCCAAGACGCGGGGCCCCAGGTTGGCGCGTAAGAAGCGACGAACAGGTATGTGCAAGCAATGACAGCCTTTGCAGGCGCGCCCGTAATCTCCCAGGATTGCTCGGCAATACCACCAAGACCGCCTTCAGGAGCTGGGTTGCCGTAGCTTGCCATGAGTCCAGCGTTGGCGAACATCCAGATCATCATAAGGACTGCGCCGATGACGAACATAGGACGGCGACCCCAGCGGTCCATGAAAAGAAGAGCAGGAACTGTCATCAAGACGTTGATGACGTACTGGATGGAACTGGCGACGAGATTGATGTTGCCGGTAAGACCTGCCATGCCGAAGACGTATGTGATGTAGTACATCTGCAGAGGTAGAGGTACGAAGTCAGTATATGTTGCACATGTAGTTGGTACAGTGGGAACTTACCATGACGTTCATGCCAGTCAGCTGAGACCAGACTTGAGTGAAGATACCAATGTGAACGCGGTTGATCATGTTGGGCTTGAAGAGCTCCATGAAGGAAACGTCAGCGTTCTGGCGTTCAAACTCGATCATCTGACGAATCTCATCAAGCTCAAGCTTTACGAAGGGACTGTTGGGGTCACCCTTGCCGTGAACCAGGGTAAGAACGGCCTGTGTCTCCTCCCATCTGTCGTGACGGGCGAGCCAGCGAGGAGATTCGGGTAGGAACAGAAGTCCAATACCAAGGATGACAGCAGGAATCATTTGCAGACCCCATGGAACACGGAAAGCCTTGGTGCCTTCCATGAAGCTGCAGCCGTAGGAGATGTAGTACATAATAAGAATTCCCCCTGAGAAGCGCTTATTAGCTTTTGTCTCACGCGCACTTTGTAGAGTGAGTACTTACAAGTGATGGCCCATTGCTGGGATCCTACAACACGACCGCGGCGGGAGGGAGGAGCGAGTTCAGAGACGTAGACAGGGACTTGAGCGGAGCAGATACCGACAGAGAGACCGTTGATGAAGCGACCGACGATGAGCATGCCGATGTTTTGAGCTGCGCAGGAGATGATGGAACCAATGATCCAGATGGCACATCCAATTTGAATAGCCCTGCGGCGACCGAGCTTATCCGTAAGGTAACCAGAGACGAGAGCACCGACGAAAGAGCCACCAGGCATGCTGTATCGAGTCAGTTGCTGAAGATGTAATACATGGTGTGAGAGCTGACTCACGCAGCAGTGATGCCTCCTTGGACATCGGCGGTAGGACCAGAGCAATCATCCTCGGGGCCTGTGAAAGGAGGACCCTTAGGTCCCTGGTTGAAGTAGCAGCGGTATTGTTGAGTTGGCAAACTGTGAATGTTAGCATCATCCACAGATAGCCATGGTGAGTACGTACATAGCGCTCATGGAACTGATATCGAAGCCGAACAGTCCACCGCCAATGACCGCAATGGCGGTGATGCCGTAGATGTTGCCGATCTGGTAACCCATGGTGATGTCTTGTCTTGCCAATCACCCTGCAATGGATGTATAAAAGAAACCCGGAGGTTGGCAGGCGTGGTTACGAGAGAACAAGCCTGGCGTTCGGGGTGCGAAAAGGGTTTATATGCCACGCTTCCCTCGGCTTGATACCATACGCGAGGTTGGGTCAGGGGAGCCAGGAACAACGTGGGAGCCCCGCAGCGGACCTTTCACGGTTCCAGGTAACGGTCATCCCTTCGTCGGTCGGAAAACACTCTGATGTGCTTCCTGGCTTGGTATAGTCTCCGAAGAACGACGCGTTGATTGGTGGGAGCATGATGTGGAACCTTGCAGCGGAGTGAAGAAATGACAAGCCTGACACGATCCGTCGGCTTAGTGCTTGTGTTTTGAGTCGCAATCTTGGGACAATTGATGCCGAGACAACGGGAACGGGTTGGCAACAAGGCGGATGAAGCTTCCTGCCTTCCATGGCGCCACCTGCCACGGAACTCGGAGCTGCGATCATCGATATGCTCGCCTTTCCTGGTTTGGCTGTACCACAAAGGACGCTGATGGTTGCATCCATCTCATCGACCCGGAGATGCGAGCCCTCCGCACTCCGCACAATGTCTCTCCATTTTTCCTCCAGACTCCAGACACCCACAATTTCGCACCCCAAGGGCACCCCATGAAGCAGAAATTTTCGTCCTTGGTGGGCCCTTTGCGATGTGCCATTCGCGCTCAGAGCACAGTATGAGGTTTCCACAGTTGACGTCACGCACCGCAATCAAGAACGGCATGCAGCCAGTCATCGCGCGAGACGCTGACGTTGGCCCGCTTTTCCTCGTGCAACCGTGCCGCCGCTAGCGTTGTCGTATCATGCGCCTCCCGTTGAGTGCAAAGCTTAAGCTCGCAGCCGAGTGCCGAGCAAGCCTGTAGCTGTCAAGCTTCAATAAGTCGTCTGAGAGGGCGTGGCATTTTGGGCCGTGGTAAGGCGTTCAGCTGACCCATCCTTTGGTATGCAATTGGCATGTCGGTCCACGCGCCGGCGCACTCCATTCACCACATCTATACGAGGTGAGGCTCTAGGTGGGGGCCGTGACCATCGCTACGGGGCGATGAGACCGATCACTGTTGCGGTCGTGTCTTTCGCTGCATGTGCCGATGACATAGGGTAGAACGTTGCACCGAAAAAGATGCGGCGCGGGTCCGCTGATGATTAAACAAGTCCCAGCGACGCAAGCGCTTCATCGCGTGGAATAGTGGAGTCGCCGGGCAGAGGATGGATGGGGAAAGGAGATGTTGGAGCGCGGAGAGGAAACTGGGTCGATGCTTACCAGTGCTTTCGTTACTTCCCCAGCTGGCTTGCTTGTAACGCGACTTCCTCATACATCTCGGTGCACCGCTCTCAAGTCTTTAGTATCACATCACTTAGCACCCTCGACATGCAGTGCAGCACAAGTAAAGCGGATGCATTTCCCGATATAGCTCTCACAAGCTTGTCAGGTAGCCAGCAGCCACCCGCACTGTCCCCACACGCACCTCAGTCGCCGGGACTTGGAAGCGCCGTGAATCCGCCGTGCTGGTCGCTGGAATCCGCTGTTCTTGATGTGACCGTCCGAGACCATTGGGAAGTATAGGGATCAAGGAGATTATACCCCAATCAAGGCAAGTCGACGATTCAGACACACCGTATGGTGAAAACGTAACTATCTACAGGATGACTGTATTACATGATACGAGCATCTTTCCAAAGGTTTATGTACGGCTTCCTGAACAAGATACAATGAGAAACGACAACACATTATACATGGCCAGTGTCAGACCGGGCTTAGCCCCAAACAAGCTTCTTCAAGGAATACTCAAACTGTTCCAGGTAGCCGGTACTCTTCTTCGCGTCCACAAGGCTGATTATATCCTTTTCCTCTACCTTCAGTGTCCTGTCTTCATCCCTGCCGCCCTTCTTCATCTCATTGGCGATCCTCACAATCTCATCGCATACCGATTTGACAACCTCGCCTTCATTGTCAGGGTTGTCGCCAGGGGATGACGGAACGCTGCTTCTCGGTGGAAGCGCTTTGAACGCTAGGAAGCGGCCCGCAGTATCCTGCTTCTGGTCTTTCTTGGCGTCGTCTTTGCGCTGCTCATCGCTGGCGGCTCCGGAATCTAGAGCCCTTGTATTGCGCCGTACTAGCTCGCCCTTGGTATCGGCTCGATATCGTATGATGAGACCAACGTTCTTGTCTGTGTCGGTGTGTCGTTGCGCCAGTGTGGACGTAACGTACACACCTCGCATGAGCCCTTGCACGTTCTCCAGCGGAATACGCTCGAACTCGCGTACTTTCTCTGTTCCCCAGTCGAGACGGCAGAAGTACAAGGCCTTTTCTGTTAGTAGAAGGACTGCTTCTTCAAATGTAGCAGTCTTGACCTGGTTAACAGCAGTGGGTACGCTCAACGTCCAGCCATGTACCAGGTCTTCGTCGCGATCCTCAATCACGATGCCAGCAGAACGTTCAATGGCCTGCTGCCGCACTTTGCGTACATCGATAAAGTAATCTGAGCTCTTCATATCGGCTTCGAATTCTGCGAAGATGGTATCGGTAGCGCGACCGAGAAGGTAGTCGATGACTGCCTGAGCAAAGTAGTCGTTCACGATGTTATTGTAATATCTCGTGAGTGTCAGTCCAAAATCGGTAAGCGCACCAGTTATCTGCCGTTTCCGGGTACGCGTAAAGTCGCCCTTTAGCGCAGCAGTGCCAGCATACTGCCGAGATATGGCATCGCCATTGTCAGCCCAGAGGGTGTTGAACCACGATGTACTGGGGTCGTTCTGGAGATCGATGCTGTAACTGCCCATTGACAGTTGTGCTTCAAGAGCGGTCCTGGCGCACGCAGATTGAACAACGTTGGTGCGGTCCAGACAGTCCATACAGTTTGTGCGCAAGACGCCTGACTGCTTCTGCTGTACTTGATTTCCTAAGATCTCCACCCATCCAGAAGATTTCATGAAGGGTTCGATTGAATCCATCAGCTTCGAGACGTTTTCAAAGCGCATACCGCGGCATACGTTGTGGAAGTCGAACTATTCGAAACCCAGCTGCTTGCCTTTCCCGTCCATCCCGCCATTCTCATTGAGCGACTTCGCATGCTGTTCATAGAGCTCACCAATCTTTGCCTCAGTGCCGTGTTTGTCTATGAGCGAATCACAGTATATTTCGCCATAGCGTGAAGACAGATCGGCAAAATGCTTCTTGAAAGCGCGAGCATTAGTCTCAAACGATCCCCAAGTAGAGACTTGTGGTTTGAGGCTGTAGGGCGATTGAGAGAAGAACAGGGGAATTGAGCCTCGAATTTGTGTGAAAGAAAAAATCTTGTCCTGTGTCGTGCTAAAAGCCGGGTTGGATAGGATCTGTTCCGTCTCGACGCTATTCGCGGTACAGCCCTCGTCATCTGTGCCCCTTCGCAGGTAACGAAGCCCAGCTCGCTTGATAGAACGTCGCGAGATGAGTGTCAACAGGAAGTCTTTGCCGTCCACAAGAGAGGCATCGGGATCAGATGCTTCGCCACTGGCTTCCGTATTGGACTGTGAGTCCTCTTTCTGCTTTTCATGCCAGGACTGGAGCTGGATGTCATCTGGAGTGGCACTCGGGTCGACTACAAGACTGTTCGACTGGCCATCAGCTGTCTTGATCGTGAAAGGTCGTTGACCAACGAAGCCCTGCATTACGGGGAGCACAAAAGCATGCTGGCCCGCATTGATGAAAGGTGCGATGATGTGCTGATTCCAGAAGAACTAGATACTGGTGAGCAATCGGCCGTTACATGGACAAGGTGTAAACTGACCAAAGGATCGAATTGTTTAAACAGGGCGACACTAGAACTTGCTTGCTGCTGGCCAATACCGTGTGAGATGTCATAGTCGTATGAGAAGAAGAAGTTGCCTGATGAAAAGTACATTTTGGTGGTCTGCAGAATCTTTGGTAAGAGTGCTACAGTGGCTGCGTCCTTCTCGCCGCCCAGAGCCTTGGGTATAGCTTCTGGGCTGACTGGGTCCGAAATGTCCTTGTCATCTGTAGGGATGGCATCCGGCTTAGACTCGCTCTTGGGTTGTTCTTCTTCCTTGGGCACCCCCGAGTCAACATTCTGCGGCACGTTCTTTGCCGCCAGGTTCTCTTCTGAGCTCAGCCCTTGCAGACGCCTGTTGTCAGCACTCCAACCCTTGCGCGAGAACCACTTGTCAGCGAATCTGCCATATACACCTTTCCTTTGTATGACGTCTTCAGCCACACTTGTCTTGCGCTGCGCACTGCCTTTTTGGCCGGTGACCGAGTCCTTGACCTCGCTGGGTGTGGACGATGAGTCCTCCACAAGCGAGTCGGTCACACTGGGCGCGCCATCCTCACTATCGCTATCGCTATCTTCGTCTTCCAGGCCGGGCGCCCGGTTGCGGCGCTTCAGATGGTCGCGCGTGGCTGCGATGGCCTTGTCGGCGTCGGCTTGCGAGGAGAGGGGGATGAGGGCGACATCGGTGATTTTGTAGATGGGCTTGCCGCGTACAAGTGCCACCTGTTCGCGGTCGGATATGGATATCAGGAAGTACGAAGTAGCCACTTTGAGTAGTCCTTAGAGTAGGGTCAGCTTGTGCTCCAATGCGCCAATGACTGCGCGCGTACCGATAATGCCATGCGCTTCCACAGACACTGGCGCCGTGTCTTCTTCGCGCCTGTCTTTCAACAACGGTCCGACATTGCCCTTGTAGTCGACCTTGATGGCCTGCTGCGTCGCGGGCGGATGGTTGCGGGGCGGGGACGGCTGGAGGATGAGACCGTCGACGGCGGCGAAGATGAGCAGCTTGCGAACAAGGGAGGGCATCTTGTCGGCGGCGCTATGCGCGTTCAGGGCTGAGTGACTCGACAAAGTGCGACATCAGGTCGCTTCTAGGCGCGTTGAGACGTATGGTGGGTTGAGCCGCCATGACGTCGTGTCGCGCCGCGCTAATCTCAAGATTTCTTACCCCACGCGTCCTCCTGTCAACCATGGTGAAATGCTCAATCAGCCCCCTTTTTGTCTTGCCTCATAAGTACTGGCATTGTATCAAGGGAATGTTCGCGACGACAGAAGTGCCGACCAACCACATCTACCCAGACTTCGTCTTAAGCAGTCAGGCTTACCATCCTCGTAGTTGCTTAGTAGGTTGAGTCTTACGAAACCTGCATATTCTTTCAAAGGCCGTGCAAAGTCAGCACGTCCTCGAGTGTTCGAAACGGTCACAAGCACTTCCAACGCCATTGACTAGGCTGCAAAAGAGAAGCCAGTCAAGTGCAAATTATGTTATCACGGCTTTAACCAACATGTAATACACGGCTTTGGTGGGTTTTTGGGGTACTTCTGGCACAGGCTTCGTTCCTCGCTCAGGAAAAGCGGTGCAGGTCAGAATTGGATGCCACAAGTGAACGGGTGAAGGCACACTGGGGTGCACAGCGTCGATACGATCAACACTTGGAAATTGCGTACAGCCTATGAGGAGACCGATCCTGGTATGCTCTGACAGTTCCTACCTGTTCTTTGTGAGTCATGCTATTCAGCGTCACACCTTCTCGTCCACCATGCATGGGATCTGGCTCGGTGTTCTAAACGGAAAGCGCCTCTCGGACTTATGCCTTAAGTGCAGCCTGCGATGTAGCCATCAATGCACTAGGTCATCAGATCTGACCATGCAGCGTTTTACTATTCGTGCGTTCGTATATACGATTGACATGAGTAAGTCTTCATACATAGCATGTCTTTGCGGGGCCTTTGCATTACTTCATCAGGCCGCGCGAATCGGAGTTAGACAACTAACTCCGGATCGGGCCGGCGCTCCTTCTCGATCTACGGGGTTTCTGATGTTACAATTGCCTATTTGGTCTTTAGCAAGTTCCAGACCGTACTCTATTCGTCGTGGATTACGCCTGGTGGACATCCGTAAGACCCGTTCATGTTGTGCTGAATCGCTGGCAAGATATATATTCGCCCGCCTTCCACTCCAGCTTGAGTATCACAAAATCCATCTCCTCTACTTTAGTCGGAAATCTGCATATCATCCAATACCACAATTTAATCATTTCAAAATAAATATGTCCTCGAACCCAGACAAGGAGGTTGTGCTCGTAACAGGTACCAGCCCTCCAGACGTTTACCAAGCTCGTCATACTGATAGCCTCTGTAGGGGCAACCAACGGTATCGGTCTAGACACCGTCATTTATATCGCATCTGCATCTCCAAAGTACCATGTCATAATCGGCGCGCGCAACATGTCGAAAGGCGAAACAGTCTTGAAAGATGTGCAAGCCAAGGCAGGCATCCAAGGCACACTCTCCCTAGTGCAACTCGATGCCAATGACGACGATTCTATCAAAGCTGCGGTCAAGAAGATTGAGGAGGACTTCAGCAAGCTCGATGTGCTTATTAACAACGCTGGTATATGTCCCGAAAGAGACGGCACATGGCCGGACCGGGAGCTGATGCGCACCACGTTCGAAACCAACGTCTTTGGCCCTACCATCCTCACAGAAGCCCTCATTCCCGCAATGAAGCGCTCATCCAATCCGCGCATCATCAACGTGTCCTCTACTATGGGTAGCATCACTTTGATCTCCGATCACAACTCTCCCTACGCCCAGGTTAAATACCCCGGATATCGCATGACTAAAGCTGCGCTCAACATGTTGACGGCATACCAGTACGTCCAGCTCAAGCCGGATGGCTTCAAGGTCTGGACGTACTGCCCAGGCTATGTGGTGACGGACATAGGAGACGACAAAGAGCAAAGAAAGGAACAAGGCCTTGAGAGTTCAGAGACGAGTGCGCTAGGACTGTTACAAATTGTGCAAGGCGAGAGAGATGCTGATGTAGGAGGATTTGTCGGCAGATATGGACAGAAGTATGGTTGGTAGTGACTTTTAGCCTCTTGTGCGGTGGTAATCCAAAGCACAAATAGTACATTGATGATTTCCCAGGAGAATGGTTTTTGTCGCATTTTAGCACGCTATGACATCTTCCCGGGGCCTTCAATGTTGTTGATGGTTAAGGTGGTCCTTCCGTTACAGGCGACCTGCCCCGCTTTTCCCCTGGCAGCTCCTGTCACCGCGTCATCGCTTCCTCCAACGAACTACTGCTACGCGTCTTCATTCCATCAGAAGCGCGCACGAACGCGAAGTGACGCACGTGCAGATTTACGGTCCTACAGAATCTGTACCTGCTACATTGAGAACTCTCCGAGCCGGTACACTGAACCCACGTGGTGCGATTAACCAATCGCGAGACCCGATGAGCGCACGCGACGAGCTAACGCAAACGCGATGCATGGCGGGAACGACTTCAACATCTGAGCTTTAGTGCATGCCGTTGCGCGCTGAACAGCATGGGTGCGATGGCGTATAAAGGTCGGGCCTTGTTGCTCGCGGTCTTTGTGTTTGCTTTGTGCGTCTTCACCTTGAACACAGACTTCAATTCAGAAGGAAAGAGCAACATGTTGGGATCATTGGTAAGGACAGCTCCTGGCATACAAGAACGAACGAATGCTAATGGTGCCAGGCATCTGCGAGCTTAATGCTGTTCGCTCGTATGTTGTCTTTTTGCGCGGGAATGTCCAAGCTCACGATACATAGAAAGCGCACTGGCATCCAAGTCTGACATCCGTTTCAACCATATTCAAGTCGTTGGAACGCACAACTCCTACCATCGTGAAGTCTCACTCGCCGAGCGACCAGTCTTTGAGAAATACGTACCGTCTCCAGAAGACTACTACTACTCGCACGCAGAGCTCGACAATCAATTGGAGTACCAGTCGGTGCGCTCTTTCGAGCTCGACTTACATTCGGATGCAAAGGGCGGCCTGTACTATCCCCCTGTCATATGGACGCTATCAAACTTGACAAATGCCACCACTCCTTACAATGGTGACATTCTGAAGAAGCCAGGTATCAAGGTGTTCCACGTCACAGACTTCGACCCCGATTCTGTCTGCCACACCTTCATCGACTGTCTCAAGCAGTTGAAGAGTTGGTCAGACGCAAATCCGAGACACGTCCCCATCACTATTGATCTCGAGCTCAAGACCGATGCGCCGGCATGTTCGTTAGGCGGTGTCTGCCCTGGCGAAGCGACAAACTGGACGCTCCCTCGCCTCTTGAACGTCGACGCGGAGATCCTCTCCGTATTCCCTAAGAAGCAACTCATCCGCCCCGACGACGTGCGCAAGAGTGGCCTCACCCTCGAGCAAACCATCCTGCAACAAGGCTGGCCGAAGCTGAAGGACGTTCGCGGCCGCCTTCTGTTTTTCTTCGATAACGACCCGAAACCCAGTGACCCCAACTCGCCTCGCGAGCTCTACAAAACCGGCGCCCCCTCGCTACAAAACCGCACTGTCTTCACCAATGCGCTCGAAGGATCTTCCGATGCTGCATTCATCAAATACAATGAGCCGCGCGCCAACGGCATAGCAGAGATCCAGCGTCTTGTCAAGAAGGGCTACTTGATCCGAACACGTGCTGATATACCCATCGATACCATCTTGAACCGCACTACAGAGATGAGGGATTTGGCTTTTGAGAGTGGTGCGCAAATTGTTAGTACCGATTTCCCGGCTTGGGGCATGAGCAGTCGATGGGGTTGGGATTATGTCGCCAGGCTTCCCGGAGGATTGGCTGCGAGATGCAATCCTCTTATCGCACCGGAAGGCTGCAAGGACAAAGATCTGGAGTAGATGACGAGAGAATAGAAATGATTCATATCACGCCGCGATCACATCATAATCTCACTACAACCTGTGACACAACTTGAAGTGAAAGAACATCGGTCTCTTCTAGCACACATCTCAGTACAATGAAGGATGCGTCATATCGCTTGCGCCCGAGCTTAGCGACAGGCTAAGGCGGTGCATAGCAGGTGAAGATGAGCGTATAAATATCTCGATGAATTCACGACTAGGCAGGGTGGCAGGTTCGAGCAAACACGTGGCCCGTGCGCTCCTTAGCCCGCCCGCACCTGCCCGCAGTCTTAAGTAGTCTGCCCTCCCTCTCCTCTCTCTCTCCACCACCATTTACTGACTCCGATTCTCAACTCGCGAATTTCGCGGAATGTACACCAAGCCCTTTCTTGCTCCGCGCTCGCGCGCATCATATCAAATTGAACTACACCTACTCTCCTTTTTGCAACATGCGCAACACTTCTGCTTCAGCATCTCGACTGCACAGTAGCAATACCTGTGGTATGGCGACTTCCCGTACTCAGGCATTGCGATCTGCCGTAGGGTTCCTCAAGCTGTTCTGTTCTGTATCTTGGAACAAGGAGGGTAGCCACCTCATCCTTCCTTCCTCATGCGGCATTTTTCATAAGGTTTTCTCTTCGGTTTCGCGTTCGTGCGGACCTCTTCTACATCTTTCGCTGATTCGGCGGCTACCTACCTTCAACCTTGTATGGCCTTCGGGCTGATCCTCATGGCTCCGAGGCAACGTCTTTCACCAACCTAGAGATTGGTGTCCGGCTTGCCCACACCCTGCGCCGAAAGCCGTGCTTAGCATGCTGCTTACCGGCCAGCCGACCCCTGCCACTGGTTCTGAGGAGCCTATATCAGTACTGTGCTGGGAGTACTGACGAAATTATCAGTATGGATCAAGCCGTATGGCAGTACTGATAAGTCGACCTCCAGCCGGCGCCTCTTGTGATAGGAACGGACGGATACTGCAATGAGGTGCAAGACCGAGCCTATCCCTCCGTTTCTCGATGTATAAATGGGTTTCATCGCAATTCTGCTACACATTCTTTTCGTTTGCTTTTGCGGCATGCTGCTGGGCTGAAGAAGGGAAACGAGAAGGGACACGATTATGTTTGCACGCAAGCGTGAAGTCACGTTAGATGGTAACATGCCAAGCGTCTTGATCCAGCAACGGCGTGACTTTCGTTCTTTCACAAGTTCTCATACCCCTCCATCTTCGTGAACCCCACCGCCATCATGCTTTCCATCCTTCAATGCTTCTACTTTGACCTATATCGCGTCTTTAGAGGCAACCTTTCATAATGGCTCGAATGCAGATACCATGTTCTCTCGTGAATGTCCTACCCATAGATCTAGTCCTATAGTACACTCCAGTCAAACCGCCGCCTCGTGCTCCTAGGTTCCTCAAAGTCTATGTGATACGTCGAGACCACTAAGAGAGCCCGCTCATTCCACCGCCAGTGTCTGGATGTCGGTATAACGGCGGGGTGACTTTCACCGCTTCACTTTCACCAATATACGCTCATTCACTGCAAAAATGTCGCTTTCCTATCTGGGTCTCGAGCGAGCCGCAACTTGCAATGCGGCAATCTACAATCCCTCACAGTCACCCACGTGTACCCCGTGGCGCACTCTCCACTTCTCACTCGTTCCCATCCACACACGACGCCTCCAAAAAGCAGAGCACTCCCCAGCTCGACGATCACCATGTCTGAATTCCCCGCGGACCACAATGAGCGCTCCACAATCGCACCTCCGATCGAGCACGCCAGTCCCCTGCGGCCTGAGAAGCGGAAGACTCAACATACACACGACTCCGACGAGCCTCACCCCCCAAAGCGCTTGCGCCCGACCGCCGGTGTCACTAAAGGGAAGCCTAGCAAAGGCGACTTTTGGACCCTACCTGAAGAGCTGATGCAGCTTGTTTGCCAACATGTACGTGTAGTACTCAACTCCTGTAGCGCCCTCGACTAACTTTTGACAGCTCTCTCAACGCGACTTGTATATACTGTTGTTGCAATCCACCAGAAGGCAGCGCAAAGGAGCCACTAGGAAGCTACAGAGACTTTTCGTTAGACATGTCGAGATGCGCCTCACGAGGAAGCGCCCGAGCTATATACAGCAGCCCAGCGCCTTACTTAACCATCCATACAACTTCCACGCGATCAGCTTCGACGTATCTGAGGAGCTTGGGTGGCAGATGAACAGCCTCCTGATCGCTCTCAAGCCGACTCCAGTCAAGGCGGTCATGTTCAGTCCAAACAGCGTCGTGGTTTCAGGCACTGTGGACCAGGTGCTACACACATATCAGCATCTACCAAAACCAGAGCTCCTCATGGTTCCCACTTTCCACATTGGAAACCTCGCCCGCATTCCCAGCCACGAAGCATTCATGCACCGCCTTTGGACATTCCTCGACACACGAGACCAGTATGAGCGCCGCACAATCAAGTTCCACAATACCTCCGTCACACGTCAAACCATATATGGACCAATGCAGCGGGCGCCCAAAGGCTACTACCTACCCAAAGACGCACCTCCTCAAATCCGAGAGCTGACTGGTCATTTTGGCTTGTGCATCAGCCTCATTCGGATCGTATCTAGTACCTTGTTCGATGATCTGAAAGATCGAACCCTCGACCTCATCGTCGCCCCTTACGCCCCCGCAGAAATTGTCCGCGGCATGATTAGCAGCAAGCACCAGTACCGAGTCCGTTCTGTGTCGATCATCAACGACAACCATAAGGACAACACTCTCATGGACGACGTGCTGACGCGACTCTTCAAGCAAATGCCCAATGGCATCATTCTGGAAGAACTTCGAGTGGCCGAAGTCAATCTTCTTCTCAAAACGGGCTACGTTCCACAACATGCCTATCTTGTCAACAAAATCGGCCTCTTACGACTGTACAACTGCCCTGGCTTAAGCCAATTCACAAGCGTCGATGCCTTCAGAAACTCTGATCTACACACGTTTATCTACCTACGGGAGTACCCAAAGCTGAACCCAGAAGTACGGGATGGAGTCTTTCGCAATGTGACAAGACATTGCAGCAAATTGGAGCACTTCTGCTTCCACGCGCGAAGAGACAATTCGGACGAGCAAGTCAAAACTGCGCTCAGCGCTCCTGATGCCAATGGCCAAACAAAGGCTGTATCGAGGAAAGAGCGAAAGAAGGCTCGACAAAGCGAGGTGTATGGCATCGGGCACCTGCTGCGCAAGTCGCCGCCAATGCTGAAGACAATTTCCCTGCGCATTGGAGAGAGGTCAGAAGTTCCTGACCAGGAACTACAACTCCTGGGTCAGTACTTCCCAGATCTAAGACACGTTGGCATTCCATGCCCAGTGCTCTGGGATGCGATTGAAGTAGGTCACTTGAGTGACGATATGTGGAGAGATGTTGGTGAACAAACAACAATTCTCTCCACTATCTATGGACTCGAATACCTGCATTTGTTTGTCGCAAATCTGGGGACAGAGCCTAGGATGGGCACCAAGGCCATCAGCACGGCACTCCAGCGTGTTGCGTACGAAGTCCTCGCTATCGTCTCAAGTGAGTGTAGAGGACTCAAGTACCTCTCCATCACGGTAAGGGACTTCGTCGAGCACGCTGGACAGAAGTCGGAACCTGTGGCTGTGCACCTGAAGGTCAACAGGGATGACTCAAAGCAGTCGGAGCTTGTGTGGGCGAAGGAGCTTGGGGTCGGCATGGAGCTGTATGGTGACACAAAGGAGTGTACATACGAGGGCCTCGTGGATACGAAGACGGCGCGGTGGGCGAGGCCGAAGTACTGAAGGTCATGTAAACGGCAGTTGGATGTTTGTCGTGATAGTTATAACCCTCGTAACGACATGTATTCGCCAAGAAGATGTATGCCATCATAGTGGAGTCATCGTAATGACACGTATCCGTCAGCTCAGCACGGAAATTTTAAGTTGTCGACACATCTTCCATTAATTCTATTCACCTCACACCCACTATCACAGCTTCGTTCATCACACACACACCCCTCCTCATCCCACTACCAAAAGATCAAGAACCATCAAACAAATACACACCTGGTATCGAGCGCAAAAGACACGTGTATATTCCCCATGGAAAACAAGAACAGACACACTCCATCCATATGCATGAAAACCAGTATTGACAAGGAAAGTAAGAAACACAATAGCGTGATTACAAAGTGAAAAATTGTATGTGGGGAATGTGGAAGTGGTATCACAGAAGCCTTCTTGAAATACCGCCCGTGTAAATCCCATGAACAAACGCCACGCTTGCTCGCAGTATGAAAACGCAAAATCGATGGTGGTGACAATATGCAGTGCGCAACAGAGGCAGTAGCGGCGTGTTGTGAGTTGCTGTGATGCGCTTGCCGTTTCGGTCCATGTCCCTCTCTTCTCTTTCCTTACTCGTGGCCTAGTACCTCAGCTTACCCAGTAAACTGAAGCAGTAAGCACACTCCCTCTCACTCTTCATTTGCACCATGAAGACTCTTGCTCTTGCGCCCAAGACACCACCCGTCTTGCCGACGCCGCCGACCTGACCGTCTTCATTCAAGTGGTCTTCCCATACGCTGACAGCAATACCACTGCGTGCGACGCGCTCGAAGCACGTCTCGGACAGAGTGACGTCAAGTAGTATTTCACCGTGTTTCTTGCCTGTAAGGAGAATACGTCGCTCCTGGGTATGATCTCTGGTACCAGGTGCGCGCTGTCGTGGGTTCGTAGGCGAGGATGGCACGCTTGGGTTGGGTGACGGCAGCATTATTGTTAAGCGTGCGCTGCCCATATCGCGCCATTTCTTGAGTGACTCTCGCTCATAAAGCCTGCACTTCGTGTTCGTAATTCCAGCTGGTGCACCGGGCGCGCGTACAATATCGCCGGTAGGTGTAGATGCGCCTGAGCCGCGTGGGGAGTTGGAACCGCTGTCGAATGAGGAGCCAGTACTGCGGGATCCGAGTGTTGAGTTGCGGATGCTAAAGACGCC